TGCGAAAACATAATCGACTTGCTCACGTGAAATGCATTTTTCCTATGATTCTGTTCGTAACACAGCATATAAACTACCAATCTTCAACAATGAAACTCTGTGTAATGTTCAACTCATCAATATTGGACAATTATTTTTTCCACTTCTAGGTGATGATCGATTACTGTCAATTATTCCCAAATTTGAGAATTTACATTCAATTGGTGTAACTATTTCAACGATAATTTCTCGATCGCAATTACAAGTATTACTTGATAATGCGCTTCGTCTATATTCATTGTCATTTGACTCATGGAATACTTCTACATTATTGCCATATCAATGTACGAGTGAATCAATATATCGACTCAATTTATAAGGTTCCAGTCAGCCTGGTTGTAAATATTGTTTTACTAGTCAACAATGTTTAGATGTAAATCGATCACCATCAAGTATTGAATATCGTGTACAGCTTATTGAAATCGAAGAATCGATGTGTATTTTGGAATTCATTCATTCAATGATCAATGTTCGAACATGGTGCGTTATTTATCAATGTGATCAATGTAGCAATAAGTTTGATCTTGCCAAATTCTTACAAGATTGTTTACCATCAAAATGGACTGTAATTCGACTTGATTATATACTGCTTATCATTAAGTCATGAATCTTTTTGTATATAAATTTAGTTGAATAAAAGGGTAAATAAAATTGAAAATAAGAAAGCCATTATTCATACTCATCTCTACTCGAAATGGTGTGGATGTTGGTGTTATCATGGGCGTAGGAGACTAGAACACCTACATCCAAATCCTTTACAATCTCGTTCATAATAAATTATTCAAGTTATTTTAACGAAACAGAGTAGTCCTACAGATTTTACCATGCGTCAGAAATATCACATTGGATAGCAATACATAGTTTTTGTTATTCATAACATATTCAAAATCATTCTATTCTTAAGGATCACTGATATCCAAATCTCTAAGAAACTAATTTATACGTCGATTTTTTTTCAAGATATCTGTATAGTTCTTCAATGAATAAATTTTTTCTTCTAATACTTCTTTTTTTCAAAATATATTGCTACTCGAACATGATTGCTCTTAAATAAGTACTGTGACTAAAATAAAGCATTATCAACTTATTAAATCGATATATCTTATTATGCTAGTAGTAAGAATGATGAATTTTCCAAAAAACTTTCAGAAGATATACTGCTCTACAAAGTTCATTCTTCATTTTTTAAAATTATTATAAAATATTACGTTGAAAAATGATCATTCAATTGTAGAAGATAATCACACAATACTACAAGTTATTTTAGGTAGGGGGTAGATGTGGGATAGATGTGAATAGAAGACTTTGTCCTAAACCAACACTAATATCTATACCCACACTCTCCAGAAAGATGTTTGCAGTCCTGCTGGAACAAATTCGCGATAGAATTCAACGAAAACGATTAACATAAGTTTTAATCGTTATGATTTTATTCGTATGGAGGACCGGAAATGATAAACAAAGAATGAGATAATATTTAACAAAACTTGAAAACTTCAGTTTCATGCATTTTTTAACCGTCATACCCTTAATCATCATCATATAGTAATTGTCGATTTTTATTAATTGGTGTTCGATATGTTGTTATTGAATTGTTTGGTTGAAAATTAACTAATTAAATAATATTTTCGAAAGAATATTCTCAAACATCAAATATGCGTTTTTTAAATTTTTTTTGTTAAAGAATCAAAAAATGCTGACGAAAAAAATTTACAATAATTGTTTTTAAAAATGTATTATAAAAAACAAATTCTTTTCTACGTGAAATATTTTCATATTCTAAACATTCGAATAACTGGTAATAAATGATAAACTTTAAGTATATCATGAAATAAAATATTCTGCATAAAATAGAAGTAGAAACTTTTGTGCTATAATTCTTATTGTAAACTAATAGACTAAAATATTTAAAAGACGACGATGATTTATAGTAAAAGGCGTACTTTTAAGTTTCATGTTTTTCGAGTAGTTGTCGTTAAAGACCTGAGGTTCATCAAACTCACATTACTGTTGAAGCGGCTCAGTAGATGAAACGAATCATTTTAAATAAAACCCGAATTCACTGCTTATCTTCTTTACGCAATTGCGAAGTCCTAATATTTTATCGATTTTGTACAACGATGGAAAAACAGAGTAGAATCGTTGTATGACGCACGTTTCCCTTCACCTTCGATTCTCTCCCTTTTCCTATTGCTTATGTTGTTCGATAAAACAAAGGTGATGTTTTTATGGGGAAAAAACCATATGTCTCAATAATATATGATCATGATTTATTTAACGTAAATGGATGAATGCACACAAATCAAACTTATTTAATGACGTATATATAAACAAAGGAATGCTTCTGTTGCTTACACATAAAACAACGCCAATACATTACAGTGTTATCTTTGTCGCCAGTACGTAACAGTTCGCGTCAATACAGCAAGTAAATGTAAGTCTTTTGAAATTACATTCTCTTCAGAGGATCTTCTTCATTATCAATATCCAGCGGATTTTTCTTTCTTTAAATAATATCAATAAGCTTGTATAGCATTATTTTCGTGTGCTAGCAATTATTTTCTTGCTGACAAAAAAGTTGCAAATTTATGTATAAAATGCATAGGAGATATTAATTATTGTAAACCCACTTTACTCATAAGTGTTTGTAGTAAGAATTATGTGTGAACTCATCAAAAAAGTCATAAGATATTCATCAGAAAAAGAAAATGAACGCGCAGATCTGAAGAAAGGACGATTTCATTGAAATACGTCTAGCTCTGAAATTTTGCGGGTCATGACGAATATTCATAAGTGCAATGCAGTTTATTTTTCCTATAATTCGATAGTACACTCAGAGCACTAGAGCATAGCGATGGTTCAATATAAACGATCTCTTAGCTCTTTGCTTGATATCTCTTTGAGTTTTCATAGTCATTCTAAAACAGTGTCACTTCGAGTAGTTTATATGAGAAATAGTAAGATAAATTATGGAATACAAGGACGAGTTCTTTGAAAAACAAATGCTCTATGTAGAGTTTTTCATATGGTGCTTTAGTACCAGCAAGAAACCCAGGTCAGTCTCAATGAAAGCACTTTGACAGTTATTATTGATAGATTCTCATAGTATTATTATGAAAAGTTATTCCTTTTATATCTATGTTGACCTTTTCTGTAGGGATTCGTAGAAAATTCAATGCTCAATCTCTTTGAGGAAAATCCGTTCCCATACAATGAAAACTGACCGAGATATACGTAAGAGTGGGAAGTTGTTGTTACGTTACCCCGTAACTGGTAATTGAAAACTTCCCAGTTAACAATCTAGATGAAGCTATCATCATATTCGACTTTTTTCACGACCTATTCTCAGATTCCTACAGGCACTTCTTCCAAACTTGCTATTCTTGTTAAAAGTAGGACTCAACGAGCTCTATCTATTCGTTTAGTTAGATTTCTCATACCTTAAATCAGTCACTTGAACAGCGAATTTTTCAATTTTTTTCGCATGGGCTCCAGACGCTCTCTTCGCATCCATACCCAAATAAACATTCGTATGAAAATACATCAACAGAATTCATACACATAAAACTGGCTGAATAGTTTTGCGCGCAGTTTGAGTGCTGATGCTGACAAATCGTGCTTATTTGATGAGTCTTTTTTACTAGAATAAGTAATACACATAGAATGAGGTTCAAGTTAATGTGTATTTCTTTACGAAGTCATAAAATAACGCGATAATTCATATATTCTCTTTATTAAAATAAGCAACACAAATTGTTTATTCAAGTATGTCTCTTTGCTATTGTCTTTTCGTTTCATATTTTAACTATGAATACAATATCATTAATAGACTTGCTTAGTAAAATATTCGCCTGTTAGAATAAGTATGTGTTGAGATAACTATGAATCAATCTTATGTGGTCATGTATTGTGGAAACTAAAATTTGTTTTATTCTTGCATTTTTTCTATTTTTGTGCCAAAGAGATAAAAACAATAGAAACAGGATATCGATGTGGGCATTTTCTTAATGCACACCCTTAAAACTGCTGAATGGAATAAAATGGACGAATTAGTCTTGCGTACAGCAATAGAGAAATGTCTTCGTTATCGATTGACTCAATTGGATCTTATAGTTGGTTGAGAAATATTTTTTTAAAAACATCTGATCGAATTCTACAGGAAAACCTGATAAGTTTGACCAAATCAAAGTAAAGATAAATTAGCTTAGTTTTAATTCTCCGACATTTCTGTTTGGTATAGTGAAACTTGTAGGTTCCTAACTGCGTTTGTTCGTGAAATTTCCAAAAAAATCTCGAAATAAATTATATTTTTTCAATAAATCATTCATTAACAAGTGCTTAATGATCAAACAATGGAAGTGTATATATTACTGTTTTATTCAAATGCTTTTCCGAGGAAGCAGAAGCCAAAAACTTATTTTCCATAGGACAAATACACAGTATGAAATGCAATAGTCATAAATTCCAATGAGGACGAGATTGATCTTCTCAGGGATAAAACCCCATCAGATCTCACACTGATATGTATTGTTATTCTTTATCTGTAAGTAATAGATTTAAGGAGAAGAATTTTTTCTATAATGTTATATCAAAAGTTCATTTAATGGTAACAATACTAACAAAGTTTTCAAAAAAGTCTTGTGAATTTAGTTTTTCAAAATCATTTTCTTTCAATATATCGAAATCAAAACTTCACAATCAGTATTTATTTTGATTCATGCCTAGTTTGTATCTATTTTTCGGTTTGCTTGATGTTTGCAACTTACTCAAAACTTACTTGTGATTAATACTTTTTATACATGTTGATAATCATTTATATTTCTTTAGTCTTTTATACTATATATAAAAATGTTGTCAGATGAAAATTGAAAGAAATTGAGTCTAAGAACATAATTACAAATTTCTCTTCGCTTAGTGATATACGAAATTTTTCGAATTAATAATACGATTGTTTAGACACAATGGAATTAATTAACATTATTATTTGGTTATGTAATGAAATTCAAACAATTTATTATATGATATTATCACCTATACGGGGTATTACACATAAAGAAAGATTAGAAAGTTTCTATGCTGGTCAAGCTAAAAATTATGATTCATATAGAAAAAAATTACTTGCTTGTAGAGAAACATTATTAGATAAATTACCATGTGGTGGAATTTGGGTTGATATGGGTTGTGGTACAGGTTATAACGTTGAATATATGGCAAAATTGGGTAGATTAAAATATTTTACAAAAGTTTATCTAGTAGATCTAAGTCCATCGTTATTAAAAATTGCAGTACAACGAATTAAAGAAAATGGATGGACAAATGTTGAAATAATAGAAACAGATGCAACTAATTGGCAGCCTAAAGAACAGAAAATTGATCTAATTACTTTTTCTTATTCTTTAACTATGATTCCTGATTGGTTTTTGGCAATTGATAATGCAAAAAAAATCCTTAAAATTGATGGTCATATTGGAGTTACTGATTTTTATGTTTCAAGAAAATATCCTGAACATGGATTCGCATTGCATTCCTGGTTTTGCCGTATATTTTGGATGATATTCTTTAGTTTTGATAATGTTAATCTTTCAAGCGATCATCTCTCTTATCTATATAGGCACTTTCAAACTAGTGGAATAATTGAAACATTCGGCTTAGTGCCTTATATTCCTTTTCTAAAGGCACCTCAGTATGTATATACTGGACAGAATAGCTCCACCTTATAGACATATATTTATCCATTTTACTTTCTTCCAAAACTTGCTCGTATCCTTTTTTTTTAATCATGAACTATCTGATCGAAATAGTGTTCATGTCTATTCTTTATTATTCTAAAGGAAAGAAACAGTTTTCTACTCTCATTGTTTACTCAAGTTCAATGAAATTCTTTTTCTATACATAAAAGAATGATCTTCAATGTATATAGAAGCATATAGACAGCCATTGATCACTCTCACATTAGCAAAATTCGAAATCACAAGAGTAAAGGAAATTATCACTACGATCATAAGTGCATTATTGATAGATTATCGAACATTTCACAGATTCTAAGATACACACACCTGCATATTTGCAACATCACTTTTCATTCAATCAATATCTAAAAACAGATTTATTGACTGATTTCACTAAAAAATAGATAGATGGTCTAATGTGATTTTATTGTGAGGATAAGACTGACATACTAGAATGATAAAATTTCAAATCTTTCATTTGACGAAGCTAAGCTCGATTAGAAATGACCCACTATTTTAATAACTTGTTAAAAACTGAACAACTTTTACATATAACGTTTGTCTGTGCGTTGTTTTGTTTCGTAGAAAAAAATGCTTAACTCTTATTTATCGTCAAAAAAATTTCATTTTTTTGAAATTCCATAATGCTCAGTATTCGTTGAATAACTCTGTTGTAGCTAAAGAGAAATTAATAAAGTTTTTACTGGTACTAGATCTAAACGATATTTATTTGTATTAAAAATTTCAGACGATTTGCTTTTATTAATGAGAAATTACAGATGTTGCAATGTGGAAAATGAAATTTCATAATACGTGGCTACGCTCATAACAGAAAAAAAGATTTCAATGCTAACAAAATCAAAAACAAATTTAATGGAAAAATAGAATTAATAGGGGTAACTTTTTCAATATAAAATTTAACTATCATTTTCTGTAAAAAGTGAGAAAGATAATGATGAAAGTGGAATGGATATCAAAGGACGCATCGCCTAAGTGAGGATGAAGGCAAAAGGAATATCCTAGAGGACCTCTTACGAGGGAACCGTTCGAAGTGATTCATCGCTTTTAATTCCATATTTTGCTCATAAGTAGGAGACTTGTAGACTAGAAAAAGTCTACGAGGATACAGGTCCATGTTGTGATTTAGCTGAGATATAGAGGTTTTATGGAATATCCCTGCAGAATCCTGATTTTTTAATAAAATCATCTTTTCGAATTTTGACCTGAACCTTTGCCCATATCAAGGTTTCAATTAGAGTAGCTTGTGTGAAAAATTTCAGAAGTTTTGGACGTAGCATCGCTGAGATATGAATTACCAATATACTCATGCTTTCAGATCAAAATTTAAAACGATGATTTTATTAGAAAATCAGGGTTCTACAGGGATATTATATAAAACCTCTGTATCTCAGCTAAATCGCAACATGAGACCATCTCCTATTAGGCTTTCCCTAGTCTATAAGTCTTCTACTTATGGGTAAAATATGGAGTTAAAAGCGATGAATCATTTCGAACTGTTTCCTCATTAGTTTTCATTTATAAATGAAGAAAAAATATGGAATAAATCTTTATACGTTGCCACCACGTTTATCACTTTATATGGTAGTGAATTAATACAATAACAACTGGCCTAACATAATCTTGATCTGGATGTGATTACTTTACTTTACTTTACCTGATAAAGTAAAGATAGAGTGCTACCTCTAGTCTTGACGCATCTATAATATACCCAAAGTTGGATTAATATTGTCTATCGTTGCACAAGCAGGATTGTGCCTTCAAAAAATGGTTTTGATATACAAATGTCGGCAGAATGACGAGCTTAACTTCATGGTTCATGTTTCCTCATTTTACGAGCTATTCTTACGTTCAAAGTCCTATTTACATACTTTGAGTTTAGTAGCAGAATGCCCTCCAATATATGATCTTTCATTCTATATACGATTCCACCTGACTTGGTGCAAAAAAAGACTAATAGGTTAAATAAAGATTATTGATATTTTTTTTTAACAATGATTTGACTAAAGATACATAAAATTCTACAATTTAATCTTTTAAGTCTTTTGATGACAAATAAAGAAGATAATAGTTAGCAAGACACTTTCATGTTGTTGTTCTCTTTACATATAGGAATTCTTTTTTGATTGATTTAATTTAATAAACAGAATTACAATTATTTGCCAATTAAATATTATTATAATTTTTCAAGCGTTTTCATATAGCTTATTTTCTTGATTAAATAATGTTTAGATTATTATTTTCAGATAAATCCACATATTAAAATTTGGCTAATATAATGATAAAAATCATATTGCACTTGTGTATACAAAGTTACTTGAGAACTGGTAGTATTTTCTTATGGTTGTTTAATTCAATATTTGAATCTATTATATCGAAAGTATATTCGCAAAAAATTGTTTTTAATTGTACTTGGGAAGATCCACTTGTAGATATTGAAGCTCTTAAATTAAGTGAAAAAGATAATTTAGTAGCAATTACATCAGCTGGATGTAATATTTTAACTTATGTACTTCAAAAACCTAACCATATTTATGCGATTGATAAAAATCCATGTCAAAATGCTATTCTTGAACTTAAAATAGCTTGTATTAAAGAATTAGATTTTGCAACAAACTGGGAAATTTGGGGACATGGTAAACTTCGAAATTTTTCTCAAAATGTTTATCCACGTTTAAGAGTACATCTTTCACAAGAAGCAAGAATCTTTTGGGATTCTCATAAACATTATTTTGATGGAACAAACATCCGAAACAGTTTTTATTGGCGAGGATGCTCTGGTCTATTCGCTTATATAATATCTTGGTACATATGGTTGATGGATCTTTCAAAACATATAGATAGTATATTTAATGCTGAGACTATTGAAGAACAGAAAATGATTTATGAAACATATATTAAAAGAAAGTTCTGGACTCCTATTCTTATAAAATTTTTACGTTCTCCATTTATTCTTTCATTTTTAAATGGAATACCCTCTACACAGCAAAAATTAATGGATAAATCAGTTACAACTATTCCAATGAATGCAATAGACACCGTTTTTTCTAAATTATCATTGAAAAATAATTATTTTTATCGTGTTTATTTATATGGTAAATATACGAAAGAATGTTGTCCAGAATTTTTAAAAGAAGAAAATTTCAACAAATTGAAAGATGGTTTAATTAATAGAATTTCAATTCATACCACAACAATTACAAATTTCTTGAAAGAACATCAGAAAAAAGATGTTAGTAGATTCATTTTACTCGATCACATGGATTGGATGGTGGCAACACCAAATATTTTGGCTGAAGAATGGCAACAAATTTTGGATAATTCCACTGAAGATTGTCGTTACATTTGGAGAACCGTTTCGTCCAACTCGATATTTGTTGATAATATCTCAATAACATATAAAGGAAAAGCAACCACAGTAAATCAATTAATAACATACAAAAAAAGTTTAGCAACTAAATTACACAAAGTTGATAGAGTGCATAGTTATAATGCATTTTTTATTGCTCATCTTCATCATTGAATTTAATTATATTTCTATTTGCTTGGTTTACTGATACTATCTTGACTGATGTCGAATTTTCCAATTTCGTCTCTAGCGTTGTGGACAACGGTTCAATTTTAAACTTTTTATGGAACACGATTGTTCATAAGCGTTGAAATACAGTACTGTCCAAAATTATAAGATCATATAATTTCTTTTGAATTTTTTTCTAAGTATTATCATTTTAATTTTTTTTTGAATCCTATGTCATGAGATTTAATACACTATTTAACATGACATGTTATGCAATTGATGAGTCGTTGACAATGTATGAATGTTACATAACAGCAAATATTTTGAACCATTAGTTGTAGTTGTATAAGATTCTTGGATTTGATCTTTTGGTAACTTTTCATCAATATGATCTATGTAGTTAAGGTCAGGAGATGTGGCTAGCTATATTATCACCTTTATACCCAATATATGAGAACGATTTGATAGAATAGTTCAATTTTTTGATGGTGTATTATCTTATATGAAAGTGTGTCCCTTATTGAAGCAATCCGATATGGTTTCCATGAATATTAGCAAGATCTCTCAAATTATCTTAACATATGCCGACCGATTAACTTTACAATTATACATCATCAGCGAGTCATCGGCACTTTTGATAAGGAGCCAAATACGCTAACATGTTCACCACCACCTTCAACCGTTGTAAAAAAAAGTTCACGGCTCATTAGCCTTCAAAATGTGGTTCATGACTCCAAATGACATTATTTCACTCCTTCAACTAATATTTATTTTCGTTGGCGAAAGAACGTCGTTCTTTTTTGTGCAACTTTTCCGAGTAGTTTTGTTTTGGACATATAATTTTCGTATCCATACTCAAACGACAACCACTAATTCTCTAAGCACTAAATTGTTTATCATTTGACAGCACGAGTTCATATGATATTTCATAATTGGTGTTCGTTTGATTATACTTACATAAACGTAATAAACTTCGATCATCACTTATTGCTGATGCTTTTTAGCACCACTCGTCAGGTGAATTCGGTAAATTCAGTTCTTGCTTTAATGGTTTTACTGCATGTAAAACGTACTTTTTTGAAACATCAAGTATCTTGACAACGCGACGTTGACTAAATTCAGTTTTCAATAAAGTCTTAATTTCAGTTGCCTTCTCTAAAGATACCTTGATACGACTGTGGTCACCAATAACACAAGTATAGTACTACTTATTAAAAAGTATTTCACGAGAAATATTTAAAACGAACAAAATAATACTACAATAGGGTTACATGAATTTCGGCCCACGAATTTTTTGTCCCGGACTTTCGGCCCAGGCCGAAATTCCGGTGACTTTTCGGCTCGGACCGAAAGTCCGAAAGGAATTTCGGACCGAAACTTGATTTATCTAATTAATTTTATAAATAATTAGTAAACTTCATGGCGCTCAGCACTACGCACTTTCAAGAAAACGTTGCGCTCGGCAGTATGACATGTTGCTCAGCAAGATAACATAGTACTCAGCAGTTAGACGTGATGTCCGGCAAGATGACATAATGC